GTTTGGGTCGAGGTTCGAACCGGGAACATCCACAATACAAGCTAGAACCGTTACCGCTTGACCCACCCTGCTCAGTGGTGCTGAGATGTTGCCAGCAAGCCAGACACCCCAGTATGTCCCACGATTCGCGAAATTCAGCTTCTGTATATAGTATATACGTGTATACTACTTGTAGCTTGTTTCAGTGTTTGTTTGGAGCGCACAAACAGCCCCGTCAAGTTATCTGCTCCCTCGACGCCGAGAATTGAATCGGTGATGTGTCCAATATGAAACAGCATTTTCAGTGGATCTGGTAGGTACATAATTTGTCCAATTGGGTCTGAGTTCGTCGCAGCGGTAGCTATGAGTAGTGTTGTCTCCTGGGCTCTGATTGCCTACACGGCGGCCCTCTCCAGGCGACAGTACTTTTCAACCTTGCACTGCTCTTAATCCATATGAGGACTTAATTTAAGGCTGGAGGGACGGAGATAGGACCAGGCCGAGATTCGAAGTGGGGATCTCCGTAATGCGATGCAGGAACACGGTTTGCTGACCCCTATGTAGGTGAACGAATAGGAATTTAGAACATGTGGTAGCCGTGGATCTGTGGCGTCAGCTGGGTGTCACGTCACGCGCAAATTGTAATCTTTGTCGCCAGAATAAAACTGCATTCGCTGGTGGCCACTGTGTCAGGTTGTACAAATTTCCGGACAGTTAGAGGCTGGTACGAAGCTTGAAGCAGCGGCTGTTTCGCATTACCTCATGTAACATGACATGCAATTGGTGTTGAGTTCACGTACTGTCTAGCGTCTTCAAAGGATTCGCCAAATACCGAAGCCTACTTTTTCGACGTAACTTCCCCTCTTAAGTAACTCTGAAGAACAGGGTCACTAGTGAGAAGCTAATAGTTGTTCCTCTGTGCGGAGGTTGCGGAAAGAAGCCCCACGTCCCTCTCCAACCGTTCCGCTTCCCCCTCCAGCGGAACTCCTTTGTTCCCGTCCAATCGTCTAGCCATGTTTGTAGCGAGAAATTCATCGGGATGATTGACATAGGCCAGAGGGGGCTGAAGGGAAATAGCCAGACTAGCGCGTTTTAGCGATTAGGCTATAGGCTAGATAACCGGACAATAGGAGTTCGATTCCTACCAGGACCCCGAGATCTTTTTCTTTCCTCAGCCACCTAGCCACTGGGTACCGGTGCTCTTTCCTCTGAGGCAAAGCGGCCGGGGCGTGATGCTCACCGGTCACATCTGTTGTCAAGGCATTTCGACGCTCGGGAAAACCTGAAGGGAATAGGAAACTTGAGAGACCTAAGCATAGACGAGAGGATAATCTTAAAATAGATTTTACAGAAACAGGATGTCACGTGGACTGGATTTATCTGGCTCAGGATAGGGACCAGTGATGTGCCGCTATGAACACGGTAACAAAGGTTTCATCCTTGAACAGATTAGTGTCTTAGCTTCTCGAAAAGAACTCTGCTTCGTGGAGGTGCATCTCGTTATCCCTTCGAACTGAAACGGCCGCAGATTTTTGTGTGTTCTGTGAGATTAGATGGACACACAAACGACAGAATAAAGTGTTCATGTCTGGAATCCTTTAACGTTAGATAATATTAAAACGGTTCCTGTAGCCTATCTAAAATGGTCACCTTTCGAGGAGGTAAATTAACCTAATCTGTGTGTCACTGCGAAGGACAGAACAAACGAAACTACGAGTATTTAGTTCCTGCTGTTGACGTAAGTGGCAACACTGTCAACCACTGCCGCTCAGACTGTCCGCGCTCGAGCGGTGTAGTGATGGTATAATTGGTTGTGTTGTGTGCGTTTGTATGTTTAAACGCCGTGTTTATTAAAATTACTTGTGGTGTTTTAATGGCAGTCACTTAAATAAAGGATGAATTTGTTTTGTGATAATGGGTGAAAAGAATCGAAACGTATTTTCAATACTTTCTGTAGTGGGTAAGAGACAGTGAGACGTGTACAAGAGCATTGAATGGCGGAAGAGAAGAATTTGGCTGTGGAGGGAAGGTATAGATGTGAACATATATGGTGAGTAGTATGCATGTTTATAACACGACGATATGAGGATAATAAGTTGCTTTCTTTGGTGTAACAGAAGTGAATACTGAGAACGTTTTACAGATAAGGGACTTATGTAGGCTTGTACGCCAAATGTCTTTATGTTCTGTGTCGAGAAACCGTTCCGAATGTTAGCTTGGTTGCACGTGTGCGTAAGTGTCATATTGAGTTAAACTGTACAGCTAAAAGTGTTGCGTATTTTGACCTCATGTCGGGAAGATGACGCGTGTGTTACTAAGCTTACTGTTGCGAATATTCGTACCAGGTACCCCATTCAACTTGTTGAGCCTTGACGAACGAAGTAAGTTTAAGGCCGAGGGCACACCAAGGAAACTGGCAACCGCAACGCAACAGCAATTTCCGAGAATTATCAGCCTGACCGTGAAGATTACTGCCTTTAGGATGTGATGTTGTACAGTTTGTCGTCTCTTCGCCCGGTAGTGCTGCATCCATCAACACCGAAGGTGTTGGCAGCAGGTTCCTTCCAAACGCCAACAAACTTTAACCAGACTTCACGGCGTGACACAAAAAAACGTCAGTTCAACCGGCAATTATCTTGACTTGTATTCGGGAAGTGCCTAGTTTGAATCTCTGTCGGACACTGGCAATCCTGACAGGTCTTCTTGTTTTTCTCAGCACCTCCAGACTAATGTTCGAGTGGCAACTCAGGTCATGACGGATTTCTCCCATACCAGTTCACATCCATTTAGTACCCATCCTACGATTCGAAGCTGTATAATGTGACATGCTGAAACGACCCTTAAAACACAAATAAAATACACGGCCTCATCCCAGAAGACACCAGTCGTCGTGTGCATCGCCTTGAGAACTACGAATCTTATAAAGCGGTCCGCCGTCCGAAATCTTCCGCAAGTTTCTATTGTAGAGCGAGCTACATCCGTTTACATGCAGCATCTTGATGACCTGCGTGAAGCCGTTTCCGGCGGTTCCGGAGCAGAGCGCCGCCTCGTGGCGATGGCTTCCCGGCGTCACGCACTGAAGACATGTGGCCCAAGTTCCTTCGTATACAAGGAGAACTTCGGCGCATGGCTTTAGTGGGGAACTTTTCCTCTGTCGAAACTTTCAACACAGACGAATTCTATCCCTCGGAGACTCTCGTCACCAAGTAACTAACTGCAGGCAGCAGGGCCTTTCTTCAGAAACTGATAGTCATCCAGCTGGTCAAAAGTTTTCTAGAATTGTACGAAATCTGAGAGTTAATAACCGTATTCACAAGAGCTCGCCTTAGATTCCGACTTTGAGCGAGATTAATAGAGCCCACAGCCTAACGCCTCATTTATCTAACATCTACTTTAATATTATATTTATGTCTGCTCCTAAATCTCTAATGTCATGTTTTCCTTTCAGGGTTGTCCTGTATGAATTTCCCTTTTCTCCCGTGTTGTGTGTATCTCATTTTCCTTAATTTTATTCCGGTAATAACGTTTTATTCCCACTAAGGGCATAGATGTTTAGTTTGTGTGTGTGTGCATTTTTCTGTGTTTGTGTAGAGGTAGAGGCCTTGCGACGAGCTGATCACCCGCCCAAGGAGTCCTACCGAACGTCTAAGATCTAGAAAAACCGAAGTTCATGGAGGTAGGCCTAGGCCCACTGGGGCTGTAGTGCCAAGGAAAAAAAAAATAAAATAACGTTTTATGGCCGGTCACGGTAGCCGAGCGGTCTAAGGCATGTACTGTCTTCGCTCGCTTGGAAACCGGGATCGTGGGTTCGAATCCCACTCAGGGCATGGATGTTTAGTTTGTGTGTGTGTGCGTTTTTCTGTGTTTGTGTACAGGTAGAGGCTTTGCGACGAGCTGATGACCCGCCCAAGGAGTCCTACCGAATGTTCTAAGATCTAGAAAAACCGAAGTGAACGGAGAAGTTCATGGAGGTAGGCCTAGGCCCACTGGGGCTGTAGTGCCAAAGGGGAAAAAAGTAATTTTTTATGAAGAATATTAATTATGAAATTCCGTCCGTATGTCTCTTCTTTGTTCCCGATCATGGACGCTTGTAAGCAGGCCCATTTGCTTCTCCTGTGTGCTCAGTAATTCTAAAAGCGGTCCAGTTTTGGGGGACTAGTTGGCAGTGGATTAGTAAGGGTACTGGCCGCTGTCGAGACCAGCAAGTTTTAAAGCCCCCTGTGAGTGTTAAGATATTTTTCTTCGGCGCTACTTTCAGATCAGCTGTGAACACTCCTCTATTATCCAGTCCTTACGGGGGCAAATCCGTTGGCCTGTCTCTCCCTTTTACACTTTTATGGTAGTGTTTTGGGAACAGGGAACACTTTGCCTTACGTGAACTGACTCCGAGTTTATATTGCATGAGGCAGACATTCCCTTTCGTGATTATGAATTAGGAAGTTCGGGGTGCGTACAAATGCAGGGGTAGGGTACATGGCCTGGACCAGTGTGATGCGCAGTTGCTTACCGGAAGTTATCAAGCAGTTACGTCACGGCAAGTGTTCAGTTTCTGTATTGCAGGTTGCGATTCTCCTTCGTGCAACACCTAGATAGCAGGATAATATTAAAATACATCTTAAAGAACTAGGATGTTAAACTGTAACGCAACCGTATGCGTTTGTGAATGCGGTAATAGACCTTCGGATTTCGTGAAAAGACGTAGGGAGTGTTTTGAGTAGCTTCTTACGGAGGACTGCTCCCCCTAGTTAGTGGCTGTCCAATTACTTGGCGAGACACAAATTTCCCCTGTGAGGAACGCTGTTCTCGGCTTCCATTAAATTGAAACGGCCCTTGTAAACTGTATGTGGAAAATTAGAAGAATTGCTTTGAAATTCGGAATGGAGATAAATATACATATATATTTTCATTATGCACAAGGCATGTCTCGTGAGGCGGAAGGGAGCGACGCAGTGTAGTCTGCCTACAGGAGAGAAGCACCATATAGACTTGCGTTGTTCCCATTGTGCAAGCTGTCTCTAGCGAGGCAGTGAGCACACAGTGGTGCCAAATTGTAATTAATTGCTTGGCGAACTAATTGAAGTGGCTGCCGCACACAAAAGCAGAAATACATTTTTATTTACAAATAAGATATGAGACTGCTTTCTTCATAGTCACCGCCGTGAAAACCTCAAATCTTACAAGATATGAGACGCCCACCGCATTCAAAACTTACATTGTGTTCGTAATGGCTACGACACTTCGTTGAAGTCTGCGCCCAGCCTCCGTCTTCAGGATTGAAGTGATTGTAACCTCGTTGATTCTCTACAGACGTTTCTACATTACATTTTATTGTCCATCAGTTAGTTCCGTGACAGAATCTGCAGACTTTGCCGACAGTACCGAATATTGCCTCCAACGACCACAATCTAATAGCTGTATTCATTATCTGAAAATCTTGGTTATCAATACCAGAATTTACCACTGATCCTGCATTTGTTTCAGTACAACTTCTGGGACCTTACCTTAAGTTTTCTATATCAGTTTACGGATTTGGTGGGAGCAAGGGGCCACGCGGTAGCGTAGTTGGCTAAGCTAGAAGGTCGCGGGTTCGAGTCCTGATGAGGTTTTTTTTCCCCCTTGGTACTACAGCCCCAGTAGGCCTAGGCCTACCTCCATGAAATTCTCCGTTCACTTCGGTTTTTCTAGATCTTACACATTCGGTAGGACCCCTTGGGCGGGTGATCAGCTCGTCGCAAGGCCTCTACATGGAGACAAACACAGAAAAACGCACACACACACACACAAACTAAACATCCATGCCCTGAGTGGGATTCGAACCCACGATCCCGGTTTCCAAGCGAGCGAAGACAGTACATACTTTAGACCGCTCGGCTACCGTGACCGGCGATGAGGTTATTGGATTTTTTAAATTACGTAATCCTTCCAGCCGCACTATGGCCCTGGGGTCGATTTGAGGTATGGCGCGGCTGGACGATGCGGCGGTATGCACATGCGCAGTGCCTGTACCAGGAATCTTCCTGGAGGATAAAGGGCGGCCGGCCGGCGCGTATGCTGAGAACCTCACCGCGATCTGTGAGCCGATTGTCTAGAAAATGTGGGAGCCTTGATGTCTCACAACCCTGTGGGCCTTCACATCCTGTTACAAGGATAGCTTTACCTTTTTAGTTCCGATCCGTTGCGGCGCCATTGCATTGAGCAACAGAAAGGTGGAAAACTGGAATATAGGCCTGTTCAACAAATCGTAACAATGAAGGAGCATTTCAGTTATCTCATCACTATTTATTGTGAGAAAAATTCGGGTATGAAGCACTGAAATGATATAAATATTGTGGGAATTTTATATGGATTTATATTTTCACGTTCAATGAGAGTAGTTGAAGGTGGCTGGGGATAAAATTTATTTGTTTTAAATTACTGTATTAATAATGTCAGGTGTCCGGGGTTCCGTGACAAATAATTCATGGGTTGCGGATTACACGAAGCTGTTGTATTGGATATCTCATTTACAGTCACAACTACGGTCACTCTGAAATAGAGTCTTCCAGACGATGCGACCTGACTAGCCCGTCGTCTCTGATCTGACCTCTGATCTGGTCTTCTGTGATCTCATCTCTGCTCCGGTCTGACAAGATGTTTATTACTGTTGAACGTTACGGTTTTGTTTTGTTTTTTTTTGTGGGGAACCCTCTCTGACGAGAGGATGGGTCTGTCTTTTTTACATGCTACAGGCCCTTGCCATCGCAGTCTTTCTCGGGTCCGAGTCCCTTGAGACTCGAGACCTTATTTTACTGTCTCAGATTTGAGACTTCCCTTTTCGTCGCCTCCTACGACTCGCAGGGTCACGGTGGAGGTATTCGACCCCGCCTCCACACGGGCATCTCCCCGATTTACGAGTATATTCCGTTTTGTCTATTATCTTCCACAGTCGAACGGACTAGAAGACACCTTCTTGAAGGTATTCGTTCCAGCGGGTACTGCAGTAGCTCTGGCCTTCATTCCCTTGTTAACGTCTGCTAATGTGCGCGTTGTAGTGTTTGCAGTTGCCGCCTA